ATGCCCAATTATATCCCAAGTAAAACATTATCCAGAGATTAAAAAACCAAATTACAGTATGGGCATTATTTTATTGTTTAATGAAAGCAGTATCTATCCTCTTCTATGGTCGTTTACTACTTCTTTACTTTTGCTTCTCTCTTTGGTGTATTTAGGTGAATTTTACATAGTCATTTACTCTGCCATAATGGCAAACACTTCTGGTTTCCAATGCCAAATCCAGCTCTCATTTCTCACAGATTCTGATTTCCTCCAAGGTAGCAATATGCCACACTGGAAATATGTTTTCCAATCACTCATGTGCCTAGAAGTACCCATCTGACATAATTCTGGCAGTGATATGAGAATAGAAATCTATGGGGAGAACGTGCATATCACACACACAAAAAAAGAAAAATTACTCAAGGAGAAGAGGTTTATTTGGCTCTTTCCTCTCTTCCTTTTCTTTTCTTTTCTTTTTTTTTTTAATTGCATATGTTTCTCTACCATTTGTTCAAAACTCAAACAAATCCTCACGACCACTGTAATGGGGGAGTAGGAAACAGAATTTCCTTCCTTCTGATTCCACAGTATTTGTTCTCAACCCAGGATGATTTTACATGTAAGGGACATTTGGCAATGTCTGGAGATAGTCTTGGTTGTCATAACTGGGTAGTAAAGTCTGCTACTGGTACCTATGAATGGAAGCTAAGATTGCCCCTGAACATCCTACAGTGCAGAAGATATGCCCCCACAACAAAGACAAAGACTTATGTAACCCAAAATGACAATAGTGCCAAAGTTGACAAATCTTTTTTTCCTGCTTCTTCTTTGGGCCCAGAAAGCAAACATGATGCCAGAGGCGCAGCAATGATCTTATAGCCACGAAAGGAAAGTACCAGACATAACAGAAGACGTCTGATTCCTTGACTAAATGTTGAAGCAACTGTCTTCTGGTTGTTTAATATGAGTTAAATAAACCCTTATTTGCTTAATGGACTGTGAGCCAGATTTTCTGTTGCCTCACAGCCAAATATAACTTTAAATAAGATACATTTATTATTCATTTATGGTCTAATTTATGTACGGACATGAAGCTAAGTATTGTGAATGAAATGATAAATCAAGAATGGTTGATTCCAAGACCTCTGGAAACTTACTATCCAGTAAGGGAGCCAAACACCAGAAAATGTGAAAGGTAGACTAGTCCTGTTGCAAACAATATGTTGTGTGAGCTCAGAGTAAGAACATAGGATGAAAGCAGGGTCGTGAAGGAAAGACCATTCTAATGAAACAAAACAAAGTTCACCTGTCCTACTTGTGCGGTGAGTAAAGAGTTGGGAGGAAAGAAAGATTTGCATAAGCAAATTTTAGAGAGACCTAAAATGGCAAGTAGTGTTAGGAAAAATAGTAATTAAGAGTCTTTTGAATGAATGAAGAGTAAATAGGAAAAGAGTTCCAGGAATATGGTGTCTTAATCTTAAATGGTGACGTTTACGAGTAAATTGTGAAGAGTTGAATGGCTCAGTATTCTAGACATCAACACTCTACCTATAAGAAGTCAGGAGTCACTGGCCATTCTTAATAAGAGTTCCATAAGAAGCATACATGTCTTTTAAGAAAAAATAAGTTTAGTGGACTGGACCTGGGTGATTCTATTTACAAATAATTGAAATGTAACTAAGAAGTCCTATCTTCCTATTACAATCTAACAACATGCAGACATCAAACTTCAAGATACTTTAAAATGGAGCAAATGTTTATTATTGAACTGCTGTGGTTTCTAATCTTACTATTAATTCCAATTGTGTTTTGCTTATATGAGCTGCAAATTAGTTGTTTTAGGTAATCCTTAAAATAATTCCTTTGTGTAAAAATTTTTAAAAAGAGCTCTAAAAATAAATCATTACTATAACTTGCTAAAAAAGTAGAAAATCGTAAGTACCAGGGAGTATTTATCAATTAAATACCTACATCTGTCTTAATATTTCCCACAAAAGATGTTAACATTAGATTTTATGTAGAAAAATTGTTTTTACAAAACTCAACAGATTTATACCTATAATCTCTAAGTACAGCTACATAATTATCCTATAAAACATCCTAACTTACTAAGAAAATTTGAAGAAAGATGTAGACCCTGCCACTGGATAACCACTAGGCAACAATAAAAGTGGAATAAAATATGAGCATTTTAGGGTTGGAAGAGACTTTAGAGAGTGATTCTGGAAAGTCATCCAGCCGTGCAAAGAGTCATCAAGCCTTCAAACACTCCACCAAAAATGGAGTTCTCAGCCTACCTTCTGTGAGTGTATATTCCACCTTCAATTGCAAAACAATCCTAACAGTCATGTTGAAAAATACGCAATACTTAAATGTCAAAAGAAAAATTTCATGAAATAAAACTCCTCCACTGAAGGAATAAAGTAAGCCTGAAAGAAAGAACTTTCAAGGGGGGAGGCAGGACACTATAGGAAGGAGGGGTGCTAAAGAGGGTTTTTCTTAACCCCACACTGTAACAAGTCTGATATAGTTCCCTGAAAGACTGACTTCCCTCAATTTCTGCTTATGTTAGGAGGCTTGGAAAGACTAACTGCAGAATTGCAGGCTTACAGAAAACAGTTACTTCTTTTAATCAAACCATGTAATCAGAAGACCTGAGTAATGATTAAGTTCCACTTTCTCTGTGAATCACTCAATCACTCAGCAGTGCAGGCAGAATGAGATTCATTTTCTGCTAAGAAAGGCCATGGTAAACTTAATCTTTCTGTACTTAACATTTAATATTTTAAATACGTGATGGCTCTTGCTTCTGAGCTCCTTTCAAAAAGTGGTATTATGCTAGGTTGTAATGGTTGGCTGAAATGCCAAGAAATTGTATTAGATTTTACACTCAAACACATGTACCCAACCTCTCCTTAGTGAATAATATACATATATATATGATCCTATTTATAATAAAGCATCATTGATTTTTGAGAAATATATAACCCTCTAATTCTCGTGAACAGCATGAGAACCTATGTAAAAAATAGTCTAATGTAGTTTTAGCATGAAAGAAGAAAAACTGAATAAATTAAGTACCTATAAAATGCAGAGTAAGAGAATGCAGGGTTAGCTCTCTAAATTCATGTTTCCTATGCCCTACATGTATCACCATGGTCTTGGAAAAAAAAAAAAAAAAAAAGAAATAGTGTAAAATACCTGAGTGGAGGCCAACTGCTTGGGACTTGGGCTAATCACAAACGAATCAAATATTAGACACGATTTCCCTCATCTCTACAGCACACTAGCAACCTCCTCTGGAACACATGATTTCAATTCAAAACCTCAACCTAGATCATTTTAAATTCACTGCAGAAGGGTTTTCTTGTCTACTCACAAAGCAGGGCTGGACGGTCAGGAGCCGGTGGAGAACGTTTGAAATGTTTGCACTACCTTCTCCTCCCAGGGGAGTTTATTGCCCAATAATGCATAATCTATTAGCTGCTCATCGCGGGGGATCAAGGGAGTGACATCTTGACTCGAGCCACGCAGATATGAAAGCCACTTCGCCAGAAATGTGGGGAAGAAGAGCAACTTTCTTAACCCGGTCAAACTAAGAGAAGGAACCCACCCCGAACTAGCCAGAGGGCCTGGGGAGAGCAGCGGCTGCAGGCAGCTCCCCTGCGCTCCGCCCGGGCGTCATCAAGGGTTTTCTTCTGGAGGCGGCATTGTTCCTCCATCTGCTCAGCCACGGTATTTCGCCAGGAAACCCTCCCGCTCGCTCGCAATCCTCGCTTTATCTCTTTGGTACCTCTCTGCGTCGTCTGGGCGCGGGGTCTCTGTGGTCCCTGGGCTCAGCTCTAGGGTGAAACGCTGCAGTGACTGGGGCGCCGCTCGAAGGCGTCGGGGGCCACTGCGCTCCTCCGCCGGGCTCGGGCAGCGCGCGCGCCACGCCAGGGCGCTCTCCTCGCCTCCCCGGCTCTCCGGCGCGCGCGGGGCTCCCGGCCTCCTATCCCGGACCCGGGCTCGCCCGGCCGGCGGTGCGTCCTCACGCGAGCTCCGCGCGCTCCGCCGCGGCCGCCGGGTCGTCGGCGCGGTGGACGCGACGCCCCCCGCGCGCAGGCCGGGACTCGGGGCTGGAAGGGTCAAGGCGCCTCGGGGAGGCGGGAGGAGGAGCGAGGAGAGCCGGGGCAGGTGGAGAGCGCGGGGGGCGGGCGGCGGACGGGCGGGGTGCGGGGCGCTGGAGGGAGCCCGAGGAAAGAGGAGAGGCGTCTGCTCCGAAAGCGCCAATGGAGAGAGGACAGAGGGGACCGGAGCGGCGCAGAGAACACCCACCGGGACGGGCGGGCCGCGCGGGCCGGCTCCGAAGTGCCCGGGAGAGAGAGGGTTAGCGCAGGAGGAAGGAGGGTGAAAAGCGAGAAGATATCGGGACAAGTTGCCACATCTCCCCAAAAGGTCGAATCAGAAAACGTGCGTCAAGCGGGAATGGGTCACGATCTAAACGGTGGATTTTAAAAGAAATGAAGTGGCATATAGTTTTCCCTGCACGGCACTCGCTCCGTCTGCCTGAACTCTGGTCCATGACCCTCCGAGTAAAATGCATCGGCTTTACGCAGCACCAGCAAGTGAATTTCCTCCACCGTGGACTCCTCCTGAGAGCTTGTCTTTTTTTTTTTTTTTTTTTAATAAAATAGCATTTAGGAGGCTCCATGAACCACCAAGTACCAAAGAAACCAACCACCCAGTTCATTAAAGTTCATTATTTTTTTTTTTATTGTTTTGATTTCGTCAGAGGATAGAGGTAAGGCTTTGCACCCAGTGATGTTTGAAACAGCTTACTGAGGTAGCACGAGTTTTCAAAAAGGCAATATGGGTTTCCTAAAACAGCTAAAAAGGGATTGGAAAATGAGAGACAGAGAGAGAGAGAGAGAGAGAGAGAGAAGAAGAGAGAGAGAGAGAGAGGAGTAGGAAGTTCTTGGCAATCCCGGGGATTAAGATAAACGCTGGAGCTCGGCGGACGCAGGAAGCTCCCTTACCTTTTTCTCTCTAAGCCCCGTTTGCACCTGCTCTGCAACCATAAATACTTCGTGGTGTTTAGTGTGCAGCCAAACGAAGGCCGAATGTTAAACAATTCTTCACACTCCCTCCCCTTTTTAAAAAGCAGGCTCAAAAGAATGTTAATACTGTTCTCGTTCTCCATCAGCTCCACAACATTCCGCTTTGTCAGGACGAGAGCCGGTTACCAAGCGCTGGGGCACCCGCAGGCGTATATGTATTTATATAGTATGCGGTCGGTATATGAACATATATACGTTTTCTGCATATAAATCCAAAAAGAAAAGCGCCGTAGATGCCTCTGAAAGCGGGAGGGAACGGAGAAGAGCAAAAACTTGGCAAGCCAAACGTATCCAAAGATTTCGTACCAGGAGCCACCTGCTTCAATACGCAGAATTCCCGAGAAGATTTAGAGGAAGGAAAAAATAAAAAAAATAAATTAAATACCCCAAACACACACTTGAAACTGGAAGACGCCTAAGACGCGTGGAAATGGAGAAGCTGAGCAGCTCTCCCGAAGGCACGGATCCGTCAGCTAAGTGAGCAATCGCCTCGGAAAATCACAGGCGGGGAGGAAGCTGCAGATGCGTCCCCTGCTCGGGTCGCCGACGCCGCCGCTGCTACCTGTAGACACGCGCACTCACACGCAGACACACGCGCGCACACACGGCACAACCTCCTCGCGCTCTCCCCCCGCCCCGCTCTCCGTGGCTTTGTCGGTGCAGGAGACTGAATCAGGCTAGACCCATCCTCCAGACCCGTCCGGTCCCCTCCGAACCACGGTTTCTCCTCCCCGACACCCCCTCCTTGCTCGGTTTATTGCAGGGCATCCCTCCCCCGTGCGCCCCCCTCCCCCGGGTCGGAGGCTCGATTGCAGTGGGGGGTGGGCTTCGGGGGCGCGGGTCCGGCGGCGAGAGACGTGATGCTGTGCAGGTCCCTCCCCGTGCAAGTTCCGCCCTCCCCCTGCCTCCCCCCGCGGCGACCGAGCATCCTCTGCCCGCAGCGCCCACGGTGGCAGGAGGGGTGCAGGGCCCCGGGCGTCACGTGTGACGTTCACCAAACCACTCGGAGGAGCGAGTGAGTGAACTGGCACCGCCGCCGAGCCCGAGGCCTCGGACGCGATGAGTTTCTCTGTTCTCGGCGTCATTGTGATCCTGTTCCAGGCGTTTTCGTCTGGGTAACTGAGTCAAGCGCAGAGTTGGAGGCAACAACCTTCTACTATGCCTCTTAGGGGTTCCCCCCACCACCCTTGGTTGAGCTCTCGCAACAAAACTGCCCCCTATTTTCTGTTTCCACTGGCGAGTGGCAGAGGAAGCTCCGAATTGAAGCTTCTGTTGTGGCTCGGTTTGGTGGGACTAGGGAAAATGCAACGCCACAGCCTTTCTCACACTCACACACACACACACACACACACACACAATCTCTCTCTCTCTCACACACACGCCCCAGGGTGCGCCACATGTTCTGCCACTGGATAGGTGCATTTTTAAAATTCATCCTAGTTAATCAGTTGGCTTTTGTGACAGTTGTGACTCACTATACCACTTTGTTTACACTTGCCCTCCTCCTAACAGCCTATCCCTGTGCATTTTTAATGCAAATGAGTTGGGGGAAGGCGTCCAGCCAACAGAAACATTAAATGAATTGATTGCAACGCATAATAATCACAACTCCCCTACCCAAAAAAGCCCCAAGAGTACGAAATCACTAGGAGAAATCAATGACATTTGGTCTAGAGAATTTTTTTTTTTTTTTACTTATTGTTTAAGAGCTTGTTTCATATTTCTCAACTGCATGTATGCTTTAATCTGTAAAATTCAGCAAAAGAAAGGACACTTAGGCTGCGGTTACCTTGAAATATTACTCTTTAAGTAATTAATAACAGTAAATAAAAAACCTAAGTTGCCAGCATGTGATCTGATTTTTAAAAGCAACTTAAATATGCATATTCATTATGCATAAAGAATTCAGTACCATACTTCTCTGACTTCATTTTAGAAATAAGTCTATGTTGTCATTTTTCCCTTAGTTGATGTATTGACAAATAGTAGATTTCTCTATTGCTTTCAATAAAAGTGAGATTTCATTAAAGCATGTATCTGATTCTCGATGAAAGTGTTATACTGCCCAGGTGTGACTAAATTCTGTGAAACTTCTAGAATTCTCTGGAATTGCCTAGAAAAGATAAAAAATAAATATTCCAATATCAACAAAAGTGCCTAATAGAAGTCTCTCAAATTCAATCAGACTATACAATTAAGGTAACTTAAGATAGGATATTGTTATGCTAACCACAGAATCAAGTTTTATAAATAAACGAGAATGATTTTATAGGCATCCGTTGTAATTTACAGAATGCTAAGTTTTGTATATACTGGGCTGTGAGTGCCCCTTTCTAAATGTGTCAGCAAAGGATAACATCCTAAACACAAAGTTAATGACTTAACATTTTCCATTTCTACTTTTTGGAATTTAGAATACTAGATTATTGTGTTTTTTAATTTTTCTTTTCACAGGTACACTTTATCAGCTGGGCACTATTATCTCATTTTTATGAGTCTGACACAAAGCCAAAGAATTTTACCAGAATAGAGTTGTCATCAGACAGCACTTATCACAATCTGTAAATACAAGGATATAAGCTAATTTTCTCTTGCCCATTTTTTCTCCACTTTCTTACTCAAAATGCCTTGAGGAAAATAGACCCATCCTGTAATATTTGATTCCAAAAACAATTAAACAGCAAGATGTTTTTATTTTATTTTCTTTCCTTGGCATGCAGTCAAGAGCTAGGATCTGCAATCGGATTGGCTGAGTTTGAATCCTGAATTTGTATTTAAGTCATTAATGCCTGGTCTATGTTACTTAATCTTCCTAAATCTCAAATTTCATCTCTGCAAAATAGAAATGATAATAAGAGTACCTACTTTATTGGAATATTGTGAGGATTATCTAAAATTATGCATGGAAACCACTTGGCACATGAGTATTATTTTCAGTATTCACTCTATTTTTGGTATCTATGTGATATGTTTCTACATCTGATTCTAACACTGGTATATGTAGGAACATTTGAGCTTAGGTATTAAAAACTGATCATGAAATTTGATTGAGTGCATAGTATTACCTACAACGTGGAAGTCATTGGTGATTTGAAAGTAATTCCTAGATCCTCCCTGCTTTTTCTTTTTTTTTGTTTTGTTTTGTTTTATGATACTGTACCTGTCTATTATTAACTAATTTTAGTGTAAGGGATTATATTAAATGTGTATGATGAGACAGGAAACAAAATGTTAAACACATGAATAGGCAATGAAGACATCAATAAAAATGTAGGAGACTGGGTTCGATTTACATTGCAAATTATGTAGTGTTCTAGCTTGTGACCTTAACCTAACTATGCTCTCATTTACTGTCTTTTACCATGCCAAGCTCTGTTTGGAATGAATACTGGAACTGTCTGTAATGTAAAATACAAATAAAAATCCTGTGAAATTTGTCCAAGCAGATCCGTTCCCCTATAGATTTGAGAGATGTCAATATAGCGCATATGCGAATTAATAGAATTTTCTGAAAATACTGGCTCAAAAAGCCAATCCACTGAGTAGGAGTGAGGGAAAAATCACTAGAGGAATGACAAAATTCACTTTTAATTATATGTATTCTACCTAATTGCCATTACAGAGAAATTTCTTTTCCCAGAAATAAAAATGAAAACATTGGAAAAGTAAGCTAGGCTTGACAGTGAATATTATATTGTATTTTTGGAGACTTCAGTAAAATATTATGTAGACTCGGTTTGCTTTTGGTTTAGAAAATCATTAAGGTGAATGTTTTTCCCTAGTCATTTTATATTAATAAAGAAATTTCAATGGTATATTCACTTAAAGTAAAGGAAAAGCAAAAATATTCCTCATTCTCTGGAAAATTCCCAAGACTCAGCAGGAGACTACCGCATTTGTTTTATCTTTTCTAAGGGGTGTATGAAGAAAAAGTATTAAAGCAATGTATGAAATTTTACTTTGACTTCCTTATAAATCATATGCATTTTATTTAAATAGGTAAAATATAAATCATATACTGAGGAATTTATAGGGCAATGAGAATTCTTATTTCAGTTCTGAAAGAAATAATAGAGCAAATAGTTTGTTGAACTGTGGTATTGCCAAGTGGACCACCTATACAGCTTTGTGGAAGTGTTTAATTATAATCTGGATAAAAGATAAACATGTTAACACAGAAAAGACAGATCCTGACCCTTTACCAGCTATGTCTGGTAGTATATATTAGCCATTGTCACAATCCCTCTGGTTCCCAACTCTATCCACAAACCACCTCTCCTTCACATCTAGTCTGTACAGGATGGTCAAATTCATCTTTTTATCTAGCACTTATGAAGTCAAACCATTTCTGAAAATCCTTAATGCCCTATATTTCCTATCATGTGACATACAGACTTTCTATCCTACAATACAAATTCAACACTTTCTAGGCAATTCATCTCTGAATCTCCTAGCACAAACTCCTTAATGTGTAATACAACCTAAAATTTCTAACTGACCTGAAAAAACAAACAAGCAAACCAAATTCAACATGGCCTCAATTCCAAACAATTTACAGAGCTTTCTCTACCATTACTTTTCATCCTAATCCCCATATTTATTCCAAAAGATATAATTCACTGGTATCTAAGGGAAATTGTCATGATTTTGTATCTTGTGCTAGCCAAGTGCCTTCTCTATCAACTGAAAACTACCAAAAATTAGTACCTCAAAGATCTCCTCACCAGATATTATTTTCCCTTACTCTGAATGTAGCTAATGTGCATCTTCCATAATGCAATTGCATAGTCTATATTGAGTTGCCTTTATTTCTGGAACTTTTGCTTACCTTAACTATTTCCAGGGTACCAAACACTCTCTGCCCCGGTGCCTTTGCACTTACCATTTCTTCCTCCTAGGCCTCTATTTCTCCTGGTGACTATATGACTCTCTCCCACATTCATACACTTCTCTGTTTAGTGTCACAGTCAAAAGATGTGGTCACTGACTCTGCTACTGAAAATAGTACTCCCCTCCCCCATTCACTGTCTCCTTAACTTCTGATAATTGCTTCTGAGTATTTATTGTAACCTAATTGTATTTATGTGTTTATTTGCTTCACTTCATCAGAAGGTAACTGCCATGAAATCAGTGAATGTCTGTTTTATTTGTTGCTGTTTGCCAAACACCTAGAACACCTGGAAATATGCCTGATTTGTGTTCTATAAATAGTTGAATGGGTGAATGAATGAATGAATAGGATCAATTTGATTCACTAATAGCAATTTAGGGAACATGATTACATATCTTTAGCCAATAATTGAACATAAAGGCACAAGATTTTGCTCAGATATTCTTGAAAAACATTTTTTTTAATGTATGTCTCACTTAAAATACATTAAAGTCATAATTACAGGACATGGGCCCAACTTTTTGAGATAATGTTTAGAATGGGCATATATTAGTCCTAAATGGGCTCATAAAGCAATGATCCCACATTTCCAAAGATAATCTGTTCTTTTAAGAGCCAATGGTACTTTATCACATATGACTTCGACTCACTTAAGCTCAGAGTTTTACT